TCTAGCGAGATGTATCGTGAATCCGTATGGCCAAGGCCTCGAAGGTCATTGATCAAACTCTCAAAGACGTGGGCATTTACGCCAAGTTCGCAGCGAATGCGCTCTGGGTGGCCAACAATCAGCTCTATCACCCACTCTTCCCCTGTCAGCGTGGAGGTGTGATAGGGCTCAGGCTCGTCCGGGATTTGTTGCAGGAAGACTTGTGTTATGGCGGCGAGCAGTATATTGACGAGAAGAGCGATGTAACGAAGCATGCGTTCGCGGACTGCGGCTCGCGCCTGGTGACTCTGATCTGCTTGTCGAGCTCCTGGCAGCAGCTGAGCAGTAATGAGAGGTCCCTGTGGAATAAGACTGTTAGCAAGTATTGGGTCAGCAAACAGCGGCTGATTCAACAGCGGCTGCATAGTGAGTACTGGATCCATGTTATACTGTGATAACATATCAATAACGATCAATCTTACCGATTGGTTTCTGACTCCGCTTACATCTCAGACACTTCCAATACTTTGGGTTGGCAAATTTCGTTCAAATTTCGGTTGCTGAACGGGCTCTAATAGACTAGGCAGAGGCCACGGCTGGTACGTAACCGAGGCTCACTTCCTCATCATTCCCCACCACGTCATGGCCAGTGCCCTGTGGGGAAAACAATGGCTTATACGCATGCTAGGCTGTCAGCTGACCTCGCGGCTAGTTCACTTCCTCCCGAATAAATCCTGTGAGTAGCTAATACAAAGTTTCGAATGGAGGTCCACCCGTGATCTGCGATCATGTTTCTGCGTGTCGCTGCCTTTACTTGGGAGTGAATACATTCGAATACAGCATTTTCAAAAGACGGTTTACGCGCACATTGATAGGGCCGATAGCGAATAACAAGGGGAAATCCACTCATAGCACACACAGATCCTGAATTGACTGACATCGTCGAATTGCTCTTATTGTACCACACGGTACCGCTCACCAGGCACACCATCGAGATTCCACGACAATCCCGCCGGTCCGGAATCTATTTCACTCGAGGGTATCGACGGAGCATTCGCGCTACGTATATCGGAGTGCGAAAATAACCAGTGGAACAATTATTGGTCGATACAAAGTGAGGATTTGCGAGGCGAAGTTTATAATTTAGAGTCCGTTGACCAAAGCCTTGTGCCATAATTTGTGGCCGCGGATTCCCTCGAGGCGTGGCACCAATGGAATGGAATGAGAGTTCGAAGTATATTTGCTAAATGAATTTTCAAGTGGGTTCCTCGGCGTCACCACCACACCGGGCACAAATTGGAATGAGGTAAGTATATAATGTATGACCAGTTATACGACCATTTGTGGCGCTAGTACTATGTATGTGCATACCATCACACTCTGACGATGACATTAACAGTGATATACTATCCACACTTCTGCAGGTACAGGTGCTCCTCAGGGTAGTTAATACGATTGGCATCATCAATATTTAAAAACGAAGTCAGTCATAATTCGAATGCATTGACGATTTGTTAACGATGAGTTCCCTTAGGCTCCTACCCTCAGTCATGCCACAACTGCCTAGTAACCTGTACATTTCTGACAGCACATGGCCAGTCCTCGGTGCTGCGCCTTGCCTTGTGGTTGTAGCATTCATCTCCCACCTTCCTCTCCCACTCGGAGGCTTCAGGCGCACTTCCTGCATCCTCGCAAGTGACGTGTCGCAGTTGATTCATCGTCTCGTGATTATCCAGATTCGACACCGCGTGGACACATTATTATCCATACTTGTAACTCATGTAGAACACACGGCGAATACCCGCGCCGCAAGTGTGCAGATTCCTGTTCTATCGAGACGAACCGATCAACTCCCAACAATAGCAAGTGCCAGCACAGAGCGGAGAGGTAGAACTATATGCCCCCCCCTCTTCCCCTGACACGATTTAGAACAGTAAGTACTTCACGGCCTGCGCAGCGTGGACTGAACATCAACCAGATCAAAAATACCTCCGGATCTATTGCGCCGACAGTATGCAAAGTTATCGTCCAATCTGTCAGTAGCAGCATCTGTGCGGTACTCCACCGATGACTGTGCGGTACTCCACCGATGACTGTGCGGTACTCCACGTCATCGGTGGCGTCACGCCTGCTCACCAAAATACTAAGTGGCCAAAAGCTAAATGCATCATCTACCGCGTTGTGCTTATTTGCGGCATACTGGATTAGGACGAAATTACCCGAGCTCACGCAGGGAAGCCTCGAAGACAATAGTACCACTAGGGTCACGAATTCTACTTGGCAGCCGCGTTAGTAGGCTACATAGCAGTAGGAGGCAGTCGACAGAGACTGCTCAGCATACATGCTTGCCACACGAACCACGAAGGCGAGCTGCGAAGATACGTGTATAGTCCACGTGTCTTGCTATCCCCTATGGTCTATTCTATAAATCAAACTAATTGGAAGAGTGAAAATCTTGCTGCTCGACAAATTGGCAGAACATAAAGAAAACTTAAACTCAAGTTTCGGCTGATTTATAGCGATATTTAAAATTTTGGACTCTATAGATGGTGAACCGGCTCAAATACTACATACCCCAAGCCTCGCATTGCCACACAGTTTCGACGGATCATATCCTTGAACCTCGACAAATGGCCCGATTTGCAAGAGTGGATCTCCACACCAAGTTGCGAACCCCCCAGCACTGCTGACGTGTCCAGCCAGGTCCAGCCGTGGTCAAATTTGACCACGGCTGGACCTGGCTGGACCTAGCTGGACAGCACTGGAGGGGTATCCCTGGGGTATCTGGGCAGGTGGGGTTGAATCTTAATATGAGGTTTCGGAAGGGTGGGGTTTAAAGGGGTTCAAGTTGAAGGTTGATGATGAGGCCTAGGATTAAGTACTGAGACAACTTACGAAAGTGAGACTCACCTGTTTCGTATTATTTCGTTCCCCACATTTCTTGTGTCTACTAAACTCCGATTTCCACCACATAGTATCTATATTATAATTATAGTCACGTTCATTGTTTGCTGGATTGTGTTGAGCTATCGTATTTTTACATGTGAGCTATAGTTAGCGTGGATGACCAAATAAATACCATCATATCATGATGCATCTTCATCATCATCTTCATCGAGAACGAGTGGGTAACCACCATGAGCATGAACTGAAATTCATCTCCGAGGGATGTATTCGGTCAATACACTGACGTGGCGTCTTCAATTGGTATGTTAATCCTTACTGGAAGTCATAGGTGACTTGAAGTCACCCATTCTCTTATTTGTGGTCAAATGCACTAACGCACCTATAACTCAGATAGATCAGAAACGGGTTTCGTCGCAATCCGGATGTTAGATGCTATAAAACGGCACCCCGCAAAACTATATCCTCACTTATTCTTGAGATACTTCCGACATCAACTGCACTTGTCCACATATCAATAGTAGGTAATGACTCTTCCAGTGTCATCTGCGAGTGCTCAGGCTCGGTACTCATGCCAAATTCTCAGATCAGTGTCTGACTTCGCCATGGCATTTTCTGGCACTCTTACAACGTTCGTGTACGATATCATCGGCCTCGGATTCGGCCCGGCAAATCTTGCTGTTGCTGGAGCGCTGCTGGAGCAACCCAGAGAGGTAACTCAACCTGATGCATCACACAGTGGCATTCATTGATATCCCAGACCTGCCCGGTATCTGTGAACAAGTCTCTCTTCATCGAGCGATATCACGAATTCAAATGGCACCCGGGTATGCTGCTCCCTGGCACCCGCATGCAGATTAGGCAAGTGCAATTGTATGTCTACTGCATCTTGAATCTGAAGGAAGGAACACAAGTTTCCTGAAAGATTTGGCAACTCTGAGATCACCACAGTCTCCAATCACCTTTATTGCATACCTGCATTCCCAAAACCGTCTGGTGGACTTCATCAACCGGGGCAGCACTTCTCCGACGCGGAAGGAATACGCGGATTACCTTGCCTATGTCGCGCGGTATGTACAAGACCAAGGCATTAAGGTCGCTTATGGCGAAAATGTTATTGCAATCGAAGAAGAGGGTGAAGGAATTGTGCAGGTCCATAGCATGGTGCTTATCACGGGCGAAATTAGAGTTCGTCGTGCAAGTCAGTGTATCTATTGCAATGTTATCATGCAGTAATTGACAGGGGATTGTTCAGGAAATTTAATCATCTCGCCAGGAGGCTCGCCGTGGGTCCCGCGGTCTATTCAGGCCATCTTGCCTCATCCTCGCATCATTCACACTGCTCAGTACTTATCCTCTGTGGAACCGATGTTGGCCATGACGGAAGCAATAACTCGATCACTCAAAATTGCGGTTGTCGGCGCTGGGCAGTCTGCAGTGGAGGTACTACTTGACCTCCACTCGCGGCTAACTAGTATGGGTAAGAGTGCCGGCAAAGCACACAACCTCCACCTCATTATTCGTGGTGGCTCCTTGAAATCGAGTGACGGCGGTCCTTTTGCGAACCAGGCATACAATCCAGAGTGTGAGCTGACCGCTATGCATCTACCGGGGCAAACGAGAGTACTGATTTTCTTTCGCCAAATTTCTTTCCCAATTTTTAGTTACAGATGTTCTGTATAACCTGCCAAGTGACCCTCGAAGAAAAGTGCTCGCAGACTACAAAGGCACGAATTACGGGGCGGTAAATCCGCGTACGCTTGATTCAGTGGGTTGAATGTCATTGTCGCTAATATATCGCAATTAATAAGCATGACAACAGCTCTACGAAGTCATGTATGACCAACAAGTAGACGGCAGCATCGCTAGACGCAAGGGAAACAAGCTGTCTGTGACCAGCACACGTATAAACATCATACCCTACAGTAACCTGTCGTCGGCGGAGATCACCACACATCCGTCACAAATATCCAGAGAGACAGATACACTTTCGATTATTTTGGAGAATACCCTCACACACGATGTCTCAGAGACGACATATGATGCCATCGTCTGTGCTACTGGTTACGAACGACATTCATGGCTGGACCTCTTGAAATCATCCAACATAGGCAAGCGCTTTGGCCTGAGCGCTACCTCGGATAAGACGTGCCTCGCTGTGGAGCACGATTTTGGAGCAGCTGTGGATGGCGATTTTGGACCAGCCGTTAACGGGAGGAATGGTCATTTGGACATGTGGAGCAAAGCAGAGGGGATACATATGCCACGCACACTCTCGGAGAGCAAGGTTTCCGGTATGCCATCTACGTCCCTGAGTCACTCAGAATATTTCTCACCAGACGTGACAGATACACTTTATATTTCGCGAAGTTATAGGCTTCTTCCGCTGCCAACAACGGGTCGTGGATTCGTTCCAAATATATACTTGCAAGGTTGTGCAGAGGAAACGCATGGATTAAGCGAGACACTGTTGAGCGTGGCGGGAGTTCGGGCAGGGGAAATTGTGGAAGACTTGTGTTCGAATTATTAGGGGTGATTTTGGGGCCGGCGATGCACGCTGTATAATTTTTTGGTTTCATTTATTGGAAGAGAGGTCTATTGGATGGCACCTTTTCTGCGACTCGGAATATTGGCTGATTGACTCACTAGCGGACGTGTTAAAAACAGAAAGTATTATCGTAGGATGTATATGTATATGTTTATCAAGATGACGGCCTAGTATGTTATTTTTTCAGCAATTATATGGCCTGATGTACGAAAGTACAATTCCTGCTACTTGTTCTCGAAATTTAAACAGATGGGTCCAGCGGAGCGTTGATAAAAAGTCAAGTTTTCCCTGGGGGGTCGCCAGTTACGGAAGTACTGTACTACACCCGTGACCCGTATACTTACTACTTATGACCTCTTCGAATTCATAGTGCCAGCTTGCACAAGCTCGCACACAACCCCACATAAATTGTAATCTTTGCTACCATGAAACTGTCTTATCCGTCTTTATCTGAAGCTAATCAAAACGACCTTGCACTCACACTCAAGATAGCCCGGCATTCTTGTTGCACAACTTGTGATTCTTGTCCTGGCTTGCGGCCCCCAGCAGGCGTTGAGGTGGTTCTAGACGATGATGCTCACCAAAAGTCTCTACTCGGCGATCTAACACAATATGGCTCCGACGAAGAGGATAGTACTGCGTACCTCGAAACGTGTATATGTGGCCACGATGTAGCAGACCACGGTGGTCAAGTATCTTCCTTAGGACGAGAGGAATTTTCTCGGAGAGCACGTCTGGCAACTCATCTTGACGAACTTTTTCAAGTATGTCTTCTCGCGCACTATTATATACACGCTGACAGCACGCGCATCGTGTCAGGAGGCAGACAGGCTGCTTGACTTCAATTATACAGACGAAGACATTGACTCCCTCAGGCAACAAATGAAGATGCCCGTCTCTATGGTTAGCATAGCGTCTCCTTCCATCCGTATGTCGTTTATTTTGCTTCCTACGACCTCTCAACTGTTTCAGAACAATCTTCTCCACATGATCGACCATCATCCCCAGCTTCTTCTGTACTCAGTGATGAACCTCCGCCTTCAAAGCGTCGGCGGCTGTCTTCCTCTTCACTTAGCAATGAAGATGATGATGACGATGATGACGAAGACAAACCTTTAGCCGCCCAAGTTGCAGATTCGGCTCCAGCCACCGGAACGAGTCCTAGAAAGGCTGTGCCGCACAGAAGCGGAAAGAAGACTTCCAGTATGAAGTCAAAATCGCAGAAGGCTCCCACCGGAGACAAAAGGTCAGAGAAGAATGGAGTTGCGAATGGTCGCAGCCCGGATCTAAAAGTAAAGGTCGAAGATAAGATGGACGAGGGTCAACTCACCCGCCTTGCGACTGGAGTTACGGTGGACACGGGGCCAACATCCTCTGCTGTAGTGGGTTGTACTCGTTTTCCTCATTTGACTAACGTTTATACTACTCTGTTCAAGCCTTCCCACAAACCCGAGAAAGCTGCCTTTGTCGAGCTGCGCAAGGGGATTATACAAATAACTGCAGTGGAGAATGACCGACAGCCTCGCTCTCTAGTTATTCTCACTGGTCTCAAGACTCTGTTCCAAACACAGTTGCCTATGATGCCGCGCGAGTACATTGCACGTCTGGTTTATGACCATAACTCCAAATCACTCGCGATCATCAAACGTGGTTATAAGGTCGTAGGTGGTATTTGCTACAGACCTTTCCCGCACCGTGGTTTTGCGGAAATCGTCTTCTTTGCTACTGCATCCGTAGACCAAGTGAAGGTAGGTCGAGGTCTTGTTAGTCAAGTATGCGACTACAATTTCTATGACAGGGCTACGGTGGTATGCTTATGGACAACTTCAAACAACACATCAAACGTACATACTCTGATGTGATGCACTTCCTCACCTACGCCGACAATTTTGCTGTAGTATTTTTCAAGAAGCAAGGCTTCTCGAAGGAGATCACGCTTGATCGTTCTGTGTGGGCTGGGTACATTAAAGACTACGAGGGAGGAACGATCATGCAGTGCACAATGCTGCGCAAGGTCAACTATCTTGAAAAAGCCAGCATCATCTCTCAGCAGCGGGAGGCAATCCTTACGAAAATCCGCGAGATGTCGAAGTCGCACATCGTATACCAGGGTCTTCCGCAGTTCCAGGAAGGTGCTCCAGAAGGGATCATAGTGGATCCTAAGGACGTCCCAGGGCTAAGTATGTTATCTTTCTGTAAGTGACCTGGCGCCTCAAGTTTGTTGTAGGAGAGAGCGGTTGGACTCCTGGCATGGAACACAGGTGAGTTGGCTTTCGCAATCTGAGTCGGTTGGATATGACTTCTTGCAGTACGCGTTCCGGAAAAGGTGCCGAGCACACTCAAATGCAGCGCCTCCTGTCCGATCTCAAAGCCCATCCGTTAGCCTGGGCTTTCCTAAACCCAGTCAACGCCGATGAGGTTCCGGATTACTATGGCGTCATCAAGAGACCTATGGGTCTGTAACAAGCTTTCTGTGACATGTTGTTTTACATTAACATCTCTATCAGACTTCAGCACGATGGAGCACAAACTGGACACGAGCCAGTATTCCACGCTCAAATTTTTTCTCGATGATATTCAACTGGTGCTTGATAATTGCAAGTTGTACAACCCCGAAACATCGATATACCATAGGAACGCAGTGAAGCTTGAGAAATTCATGAAAGAGCAGTGTGCAGAATTTGCAAAGCGAGGGTCCTAAGGACAGTTGTATTGTTGTGTTATCTTTATCACTGTGCATCTGTACTCTATTTACCAGGGATCATATACGGCTCGAGAAGTCATCTGGCATCCCATGCTTTTCAGCAGACACAAAAAGATAACATTCAGCTGCAGGATTAGTGTGAGCCATAAACAGCGGCACTGAGACGAATTTACAACATAAGCAGGCATCTTGAGAAACGCAATGGAAAATGGAAAAAAGTACGGTGTGCAGGCAGAAATGAGTCCTAGCTAAATTTAGCTTGAATAAGCGAATTCGAAGATGCGCTGAGCGATGAAGCATACTCACGTTGCGAATAGCTAGTACTCTTTCTCGTGATACCATTTCGGCTTCTCATCTGTCTTCAACAGCGTCTTTACTTTCTGTACGAGCGCTTCAACACTGGGGGACCGCGGCGCTGTGGGAGGAAGATCGCTTGCGAGTGCGACGCAATAGCCATGGCCGCCGACTTCGCAAAATGTGTTAGTAGTATTCGGAAGACCGGTCTCTGGACAGTCTTGCAAAACTCCTGGAAAGGCTTGATCATACTGGAGGTGTTCCGTCTCCATGTTGAAGTTTGTATGTTTCATCAAACGTCACATAGGAACCACACATGGTAGGCCTCCGGTGTGTGACGACGTTTTGGTAGCGCCAGCTGGTGGGGAGCATTAGAGGAATATGTATTCTCAGGACTGGTGGTAATGGAAGCCTCATCGAGACGGACTCGAGGCCTAGTAGGGGAGGTTGTCATTTTGCTTGATCGCAAAAGTTGTCGTGGATCAGATATATGTGACAGTAGTGTATATATACGTAGCAGCGGCAATGCCCCTATCCAGCCGCGACTCAGGGAAAATAGGTGGAAGGCAGTTCAAACTCCGCGCAACCGACCGTTTCTCGTGCATGTGACCTTTCTCAAATTGATACTTACCGGCCGTTTTTTTTTGCCAAAGACAGAAAGCGACCCCGCATCTTCATCTCTAGAAGCCGACCCCGCCTTCAGCTCAGCAGACCCCTTGCCATGACCCATTTTCCCCTCAGGGAATTTTGAAGTATTGCATGACATTCCAACGGTGATTAACGAGTGGAGTAATCTCGGCCTTGCCTACAATATGCATCTCCGTCACTCAGGCTGTGTTTATTTATATGGTATGTTCATCCGCCAACCCTCAAGTAAGTACTACTAGCTAGGTCCCATATCACATCCTTACAAATTGCAGAGCGTTTCTACTTCATCTTCGCCGCCGTTGCTGCTTTGACAGCGTCAATATCTGCCAGTCCCCTTAACATCCGCAGTGAGGCTAATACTTGTCCCATACATTGCACCTGGGTAGAATGCTGCCGTCACTAGCAGTGTGAAAAGGGCAATAGTTTCAGAGTGAGTATGAGTAATTTGCGCCCTGGATTTAACTACATAACTCACCGGCATGGTAGACCTACTTGGTATGTGTGTAAAAGTCAGACTCTAGCATGTCGCGTGAGTCGTGTTTCTGCTTTCGCATCAGTGCAGTATGGTTGATAGCACGACGCGTTGGTTACCAGTGGTTTCTTGCCGAGCTGATCAACGTGCTTGTTGCTCGAGCAATGGAGTGGAGGAAATCTCAAATACTTAAATATATGGCATATGACTGGAGTACTTATAGCGCAGTTTTGTAGTCTTATTGTAAGTTTGATCATAGAAGCCCTCGATGACACCACACCTCCTCCTCCCGTCATAGGCGCTGTTTACTGGGCCTCATGGATGCGTTTTTGGTCTGCACTGAGCCACTGGGGGTAATCACGACCCCATTGAGTAGATGGTGATATGAGGTGCTATTCGGACTAGGGCTCCGTGAAAAACACCCCACGGAAATGACGAGTTTTAAACTCAACATAGGGGTTTTTGACACGAGTTATTTATGTAATGTTGGATGATCAAACACGTGCGGATGCTACTTGATAGACAGCTTATGGCAACGACCCCAGCGGTCTTCCTTTGATCGACATACTGGCCCTTGTGCTCCTCCTAGCGTCTTGTTGGACTTGGTGCTCACAGCGGTTTTCCCTGGCCAACGCACACCCCCCTCTGTCCATCTAGCGCCCATGACGTCTGCACCCCAGTAGCCGGTCCCCGCCAGACACACCCCGCTAGTACTCCTTACTGCCATGCAACTCCGTGCTGCTTCTCGGTCCTTCCAGCCTGACGCGATTTACTCAGACTTCAGCGGCTACGTTGGCGTCGATCATCAATTCGATCCGAATGGCAGGAGAGGGTCCTTTGTGAGCTGCGCTTTCACGATCTATACGTTCATTGTTTTTTTGTTACAGTACATTTGAATCCCTCGAAACGCTTGAACGTACGGTCTACTCAAAGCTCGCTCAACGATGCTCACTTGAACCTTGCGTCTATCAATACCGGGAGCATCTTTTGTCGCAGGAACCTGGATGCACACCCCCCGCTTCCACTTGTTATTAGTCGTTTTACCTTGCTTCTGATGAGATGTTGATATGTTCTATTCCACCAGAGTCCAGCGTCAACACCTATTTAGGTCCCATGGAGCCTGCGACGGCAATTTGCCGGCCCAATAAGCTCACCATCCCAGATGGATTTGGATTACCGCAGGGTCACATCCAGAGCACCCTCGAGCATATACACCTCCCGCAGATACGACGCCCCCATCGAACTACCATGTCGTCCTCCGAGTCAAGCCAATCCTTCTCGCGCGACGGCACATTACCTCCCACGGACTCTTCAAACTCCCATCCTGGATTGCAGAGAGCAGTTTGTCGTTGAGCTCTGCTGCATCTGCTAATGTTAGAATCACGGGCGGTATGTATTGTATGTATTCATCTCTGGTTGAATGAATTTTTGCTGTGCCTCCTGCGAATGGCGCGAGAGCATAGTGGGAGTGGCTCAGCGCACAACTAAAGCGGCTATCGACCTGACTATGCCATCCACACCTTCCGTCCATCTGGAATTCGCATGTGCCATATTTTACTACTCTCTTTGCTCGTTGCTATTATTCCATGGGACACTGAGGGGGGCATTCGGCTACTGTGACAGAATGTATGCTAATAGTCTGATTCGTTGTGTCTATCTTTCTCGTTACATTTGCACACCCTCACTGTCTTCCTCACTCGGTTTCCAACCCAACGCGTAAATGAAACCCGAATTCACTACTTTCCTTACAGATCGACAATTGCAATCTAGTCAACATCGCACGTATGATGGGGCTCGATGCTGACCCTAATTAGATGGTTGTGTGAGTCGCGTTGCCTAGTATTGCCGCGTCATACCGTCAGGTTTCACACATGCCACTCATGTATGTCACATCAGTACCGCTGCCCGCATCACATCCTGATAAACGATAAACGATTTCAATCGGCTGACTACGCTACCGACGTAACTCAGGCACTACTACATATAGTAAGAACCTCGTCAGCTCGTCGAGCATCTATATCATGATACATGATACATTGCATAGCTTACATCAGAAAACCTACTGATAGCAATCTTTATTTTGCAGCACGCGACTTGTTCTGACCGTGTGCATTCGTTGCCACTGTGTCAACTTGACACATCATGTCATGTCCAGCACCGTGCGGATGCAAACAATACTTAGGTATAATTTCTGCCCATCACACTCGCTGAGTACTAACAGAGGGGTTTGGAGGGGAAATATCGTTAGGAGATGGTAGCCATTGCCGACAGGTCGGATTCATCAATATCCACTTGGTCGTAGTTTGGGCAAATATTGATGCCCTCTCCATACCTCTCAGGATCTATCGCGCGATTCAAGGACGAGTCCCACCCTGAGGTTCTGCCTATACTCTTTCCCTGAAGTCCGCCAGACTCAACCATCCCCATTGAACTGCCGAGCATTTCGCGAAAAACATTCTAGGACATAAAAGCAAGCAGTCTTCCTACTGCCAGTATCAGAGCCATTATTCGAGATCCCCTCTCATATCACCTAGTACAAGCCATGCGTCTCTCATTCCTCCTCGCTGTTATTGCTGCTTTGACAACATCTATGTCTGTCAGTGCCACGTGCTTGTATGAACGCGAGCCTTGCGGGAGCGGGAGCGGTGGATATTGCTGTGCAGGTCTTACTTGTACTAATACTCCGGGTGTGAGTATGAGTCGTTCGCTTTGCATCCAACCTCATGACTCACCCTTTGCGCCTTGTACCAATAGAATGACAATTCACGTACATCGTGTACTCCCATTGATCACGTCACAACAACGTGACAAAATAACCATCTCACGATGAGCTTGGAATATTGCGACAGTGAGCCGTGTTTCTGCTTTCGCGTCGGTACAGTGGTTGATCGCATGATATGCAGCAGAGTCGATGAGTCTTATTGTTGATCTTCTGTACAAATTTCCCTGCTGCCTCGAGCAGACTCTTGAATAACATTACAAAACCTCCGCGTGAATTCTGATTGATACAAGACACCCGTGTTGCTCAACTTGCGTACATTGTTGCATGAATGCACAAGAAAACTGGTGTATCCAGTCCACGACGACATTGCAGTACGTGTACATACATGTCCTTGAAGATCGTTCAGAAGGGAGAAAGGGTTGGTATCAAGGACACTCTAACCTCGCCATTCTGCTTCCGGGACTAAGAGGTGTTTGGTTGAGCGAATGGTGACCCTGAGGTTGCGCATACGAGGGGTTCCCAAGTCATTGATTGTTGTGTCAAAATTCGATGTACTCCGTAGTTTAACCATGTACTTCTAAATTGATTTGAAGTCGATACTGTCTCGTACACATACAAGTCATGATTACATTTAAAGAGTGCGGATAAGATGGACGAACCTCTCACGTCACGATCATAATCAACCAGAAAAAATGATGATAAATCAGCGTCGAGGGTACCAGAAAAATGACGTTACATATGTCATCAATATCGGATTTGAGACGTTTCTCTGTTTATTCGCACTCATCAAGTGGAGCAGTGTCTGGCAGACTCTTCTCCCTCCGGATGTACTGACCGTACCCCATCTCCAAAACTACCTCCCCATGGCTGATGCAGCATCTTATTCGTAAGGTTGAATGGCTGGAACTTTTCCTTGGGTACCAGATCTTGGTCGGACTTTATCCTCCCGGACCGGAGGTGAGCATACGCACTTTGCGCCTGCACGCGATGGCCCGTAATACAAATGAGAGCAGTGCAGAGGAGTCCTTACCTTCGAAGTCAGGTGATGGAGTCCACAGAATGTCTCCGGCTAGGCGCTAAATATTCGGACCCGAGGCAAAGCCGAAGAGATTCTGTGGATCTCGCTTGAAGCTTGGACTCCTTGCACGGGCATGTGACAGAATGTCTTCCACAAGTTGTTGTACATTACAAACCGTCGGAGAAGATATTCTATGGACGCTGCTGTTCGATGTGAGCCCAGCATCGTTATCAATCAGGGATTAGAGGAGTGATCATCTGCGAAGAGGCGTATTCCGCCAATGAAGATTGTAAGAATACGGCAAAGTGTGACGGGAATAGAGACTGGCGAGTAAGCTAACTATTGGGACGTTCAAATGGAAGGGCTGCGGAGGAACAGCTTCATCCCCATCTCAATCTGTACCCTTCCTCATGCATTCATGAGCTTAGTGACAGAAGCAAATACGAAACAGATACTCGCGGTGGATCGCTTCTCTTGATGGGCAACATGGGTCGGTTGAATTACTCGCAAGTTAGAAGGAACAAGATCGACGTGGTAGGCGGAGGAGACTGAGGTTGATGGAGTCCACAGAACGTCTTTAGCTAGCGGTCGGACCTTTCCAAATTGTAGCAGAAGATATTCTATGGACTCTATTGTTCGATATTGTCCAATATGATGGCGAGCTCTTCGTGAAGCACTGGAGCACGTGCGTCCCACGCTTCGAAGAGTTGTACTGTAAGGACGTTATGTCCTTTACGCACCGACCGTGCTTCAAAAACAAGACGCACGAACCACTGTAGGTTCGGAGTCATCCGCGTGACTCAGTGAGTCACTGATGCGAAGAGTGTTACTCTTCGCATCCGAGTCACGCGGATATATCTCTTTTCATCTTACCCTCACCTCGCGCTCACATTACACCATCTCGGTTCCTTCATCAAGTATTTTCACCTCGCCACCAAGTATTTTCACTTCGCCGTCAAGCATTTTCACGCTCGATCCGGCTTAAACAAGTATTCGAAAACGTATATATACTACCAATGTACACTCATACCTAGCAGCGAATCATATAGTCAGATCCCCGCTCCAAGTACGACCGAAAAGCCATGCAGCAAGCCTCCGTCCTATACCTTTACCAACTCATCTCGATTATCTTTGCACTCGTCATCTACTCACTTCGTCTCGTCACATTTCCCCTTCGAACTCACTAACAGCCTTACAGTACTCATATCTCTTTTTTCTTTTTAGCGACCATCTTCCGTGCGACGCGCAAACAATTTTTTCGATTCACTCACCATCCTTCAGGATCACTGCTTCGAGCACAGACCTGGCGCCTTAATCCTATACCAGCCCTGGTGGAGCCAGCTTCCCACACACATCGAATCTACCTCACCAACGATCCGGCTGTCCTTCCTTGTCGCTTCGCAAATTCACAAAAACTTCAGTCTCTCTAGGGCTGATCTTCCTGCAGCTTTCCGACTCCATCCACATTATAGAGCGTCCATAGTAAATACAAAGTTAGTTGTTTCTTCTTTATTGTGGACAAAATGTTGATTCCTCGTCCCTGCCAGCTCCTCATCATACTTACCATCCGTCCAGAATTTGAAAGACTCTGAGTGAACCAGATATTATCTGGTTTCCAAATAATGTATTGTTCACTCAAAAAGTCTTGCGGTAATCTCACAACGCTACTGTGAACTAAACCTAAGTGTAAGCAGACTTAAACCGGCACAACGGTGCGTTCCACGACTCTTATTAACATGCGCGACTCACTATGAAGCAGAATTTCTACTCTGGCCCCTCTGAAATTAGACTCTGAGCGACGACGCCAAACAATGTCTAATTCGCGCATTCTTTCGGTACACAACGCTACACGCGGGTCATCGAGCTGCATCCCTCTGCGCGTACGTCACTAGTGCTCACTCATTCTCCTCAGCTACATCCTTCGTTGCTGCGCTGATCACAGACAACTCTAAGGCAGAAACTGAAATGGGTTGCTCAGGTACTATTACAATACCTCTGCTGGTACAAAAAGCAGCTGTAATATTCTACGCCTGGACCCAAACTTGAAATTTAAACAGCTGATCATCGCCGGATCGTTCGCCAAGAAGTTTATCCCGCATGAGGCGTTGGCCTGACCTACCTGGGGGGTGTCCACGCCATCGCTGTTTCACAAACCTCATACACCCGCTCGTATGTGATCAAGACAGGTGGCGGACAGCGCCACTTCATGTCCTCGGCCATCTTCGTACAACGCGCGTCTCCGTACTCGACTCAGGATAGGAGAGTCCTCTTATGACACCTTCCACCTTGTGCAAGGTATCCAAATATACACCATCTCCTCAGCCTGCTTGTTTAGGAACGACCGCCTACGCGAGTGCATCGGATGATAGAAGAACGTGTCTGTGGAATCTCGATACGAGCCTTTCATTCGAACCACCCCTCCAGCATAAAATCGGGTACGATGTACAGCCTCTTCTACGGAAGGAAAGGTGCTACGTGGTCACTGGTTGCAACCACTGAGATGCGTATGCGTGTCTTAAAAGAAGTTGGCTTAGACGCAGAAATCCCATGGCTCTTCAGCAAAGACCACGTTAACCGCGTTAATGGATGTACGTGTCGTGTTTGTCGACCTTT